CCGCCCTCCCAAGGCTCCTGCACAACCGCCTGAGGATCCCCGGACTCCAGAACTGACATCTCTATCTTCCTTTGGGAGACCTGCCTACTTGGATCACAACTGGCACGTACTAGAGTCACATGCCCCCCGTGACGGCCCGTGATCCGGACCCTCCGCACCTCCCCGAGCATCGGCGGCCTCGCTTCCCTGCACAGCAGCAGGAAGCGGCCGAGCGCGTGAGAATCTCCCCGTCTTACCTGAGCAGGCTGGACACCTGTGAGGTGATGAGAACCACCAGCTTCCTGGTCGCCCGCTGCGTCCTCAGCGACTGTCCCAGCACCAGAGCGCCCTGGCAGTACGTGTCATTGGTGGCCAGAGTCACAAACGCCTGGTCCAACACTGTGGACGTGGACAAAAACACCAGAGTGACGTCCCGAGGCATCTCCCCAGGTGGCCGGGTTTGAGGTCAGCCCTGTCTCTGCCTCTGAATCATCGCAAACTGCTCGATATTTCTCAAACGTTCCCTGGGAACACTTTCCTTACATCCTTTCTTTTTTTTATGTTTTCCTTTATTATTTTTTTAATAACCTGTACATCCCACGTGGACCTTGAACTCACGCCCCTGAGATCAAGAGTCACACGCTTCCCAGTCGGGCTCCCTGACGTCCCTTTTCATTGCAAAACACACACAGGGGAGTCTGGGGGGCTCAGTCAGTTGAGCGTCCGACTTTAGCTCAGGTCACGATCTCACAGTTCTTGAGTTCGAGCCCCGCGTGGGGCTCTGTGCTGACAGCTCAGAGCCTGGAGCCTGCTTCCCATTGTGTGTTTCTCTCTCTCTCTCTGCCCCTCTCCTGCTCACACACACTCTCTCTTTCTGAAAAATAAGTAAATATTAAAAAAAAAACTTAAAAAAAATCACACAGACACCCATGGAGTGTAAGGAGACCCCACCCGTGAGGCACAGCCCAGCAGAATATGATTATAAGGTACTGATGCTCCAAATATCTGATCCTGAGCCCGAGCACATGGAAACGAGTCAGCCACCGTCCGATGATCCGAGCTACATTCTAGAT